AAGTAATCCAGCGGGGACAAATCCGGGCTTCTAGCAGGCCAGCGCACTACCCCTTGGTTTCCAATCCACTGATTAGGAAATGTTTCATTAAGAAACTGTGTGACGGCCCTTGCATTATGGGCTGGTGCCGAAGCATATTTAAAGGCTCGTCGTCAAGCGCATCTGTTATATAATTTTGGATGAAATTAAGATAGCGTTCAGCATTTAAGTTTCCATCGTAAATAATTGGCCCCAAGATTTTATTTCCCAAACATTGAATGATGCCCGTCCCTGCCTTCGCACTTGTTGATTTTGGTGCGGATTTTTCACTGCATAGTAATGCTCATTGTTTCTGTTAAAAATACCGCATGTGGAAAAAATTACACTCATCAGTCCAGATAATTTTATTTAAAAAATCGCTATCTTGTTGCAATTTTCCATCAAGCCAATTGCAAAATTCAATCCTTCTTTCACTGTCCCCTGGCCTTAATTCTTGGCTGACATGTAGTTTATAGGGATGATACCTATGTTTTTTGAGAATCCTCTGAATTCGAATTCTAGGCATATTTAGTTCTACGGCAAATTGCCGAGAGGAACCCAGGATTTTCTGTAACCTTTAATAAAACGTTTCTGTGAAATTTTACCACAAAATATTATATGTAATAAAATGCATATTATCATTTTATAACAAAACTTACAGCATTTATAACAGCTTCTTCATCTTCAGCTTCTATTCGTCCGCCACAAGCATTTCGGGGTTTACCAAAACTACCAAAAAGTCCCAAATGTCTGTCCAAAGTATTAAAATACGAATAATGGGGTTGTGGACGCTCGGGGTATCTTTCTAAATATCGTTCACATGAAATTTGCGAATTTCTCTTGACACCGTAATAAATCCGAAGCATATCACCTTTTTCTGAATTGGAAAACACTATTTTTACTGTCTCAAATTATTTAAAAATTTAAATTGTTATATTTTAAGGAGCTAGGGCGATTTCTTGCTTTAATATCAAGGCCGCCTTTTTTCATTTTCCGTTAATTTTACAGAAATAAGCTCAATATAAACGAGGTGGACGGACACATTAAATTGAAATAAAAGTATTTGACTTATGCTATTTTTTAAAATCCTATTTACGTATTTAGGATTTGGAAATAAATAACAAATATTACATTGGTATTTACTATTGTAATCTAAATTAGTTACCTACCAATAAGTGCTTTAGTAATTAATTATAATGACTTTTTATCCGCTTTTAATATAGTTTTTCATCAGTATCATAAATTTAGATATTTACTTTTTACCTAGCTAACGAATTTAGAATTTTGAAAAAATAATTTGTTTTAAAAACAGTGCCGTATTAATTTTTTTTTAATACGGAAAATGTCAGTTTTTTCATCGAAACGTTTGAAGATCAAAATTTGTGATGGTTCATAGCATTTAGGTCGTCCAAAGGTAACAAAAAACAAAATAAAAAATCCAGGTCCGTATTTAAAAAAATAAGTTAATGATGGTTTCTGGAAGACGAAACGTCTGATTTCAAATTTGATAGCGCCATCTTGTAGAGGATAAAAAGTGGCAATGGGGAACTGTTACTCGTTTTAAAATTTGTTTTCAAATAACGTCAGAAAAAAATAAAAAAGATTTTATGAAATTTCGTTTGTTTCCGGATATGTCCGAAAGTATTCGGAATTTTCCAAATTCCAACATAGCATTTTGATAAGCATCAAATTGCGCAACTTTGCCATAATTTAACCGATCCTGTATCTCTTGCGGTTTCCAAGATCCCAATGATGAGGCTCGAAAATGGGCCACCCAGTACTGTGGGTAACTTCTGTGAAAACTTAATTACTGCTTTTATTCTCAAATTGCACTGGTAAGGCATTTGCTTAATTTTTTCCGCAACAAATAACTTGCTAAAGTGAAATAGTAGATAATACGCCATCTAACTCAGCTTACGAATAATTGCACCCAAAGAAATAGTTTGGGTTATTTCAACAAAAAAAAAATGTTTAGTTAACAATGTCGTTAATTTTGCTAAATGAACCTATATCAATGCTGTTTTTAAACAAAAAGTTGATTGTTATTACAACTAATAAAAAAATTGTCGTACAATAAAACAAACGTTAACCCAAAAAATAGGTGCTAGACTATTACTTTTTTCATCTAATTACTAATTTGTTGAATTTTGTCGAATCAAACTAGGAAATAGTACATTTTATTTTTAACTATTATCGAATTGTAATTCTTTCCCAATACAATAGTAGTTCGCTGTACTGTTCTACTTGGTATAGACAAATCAATATTGTTGGAAAATTAACCCGCGGTTCTGTTTAGGTAAACATAACATCGTTCTGCAATCCACTTTTGTGAGTTAATTATTTCATTCAAGAGATGGCGGTTTGTATCACCTGTGGTTTTAATCCACAAGAACTACAACGAATATTGGTTAAACGATCTTTTGTAGCAATATTTAATTATACAGGGTGGGCAAATTTCGATGTTTATATAGGGTAACTCGGTAACTGTAAGAGATACAGAGAAATGGAAGACATATTCTCAATCTCTATTTTTGAGACAAATTCACTAGCGAAAACAAAAAATTGCTATCGTCTTTTGTTTTTGAGTTATAAAAAGTTCTATTTTTCGACTATTAGACACATGTCAATATCTTGGTTGTTTGTAAAGTTATGTAAAAACAACTTTTACATTCTTTAGGCACTTTTTTCTGTATAATATAGTGGCGTTGAGAAAATTAAAAAAAGGTGCAATTTCGAGTTACGGGCATAAAGTTGTACTTTTTTAAATGGGAATCATATATGGCTGTGGTTTAGATAAAAATATATTTTTTTCTCTCTGTCAAATTAATTATATGTGGGGTCGCTTTTGATGTGTAAGTATTTAATAGCGAAAATAATCTTTTAGTAGATTACTTTTTTGCGTTTTTTATATTTATTTCAAGTAGACGTGTGTCATCTATGACAATGTTTATCCGTTTGTCAGTAAATTGCATATTAATAATTTTGTTTCCGTCATAGTTACACCCCTTTTATTCGTAAAAGTGAAGATTACGAGAAATATGATATGCTAGAATGCTTTATTCAAAGTAATAACAGTTGTGATATTGCATCCGAAATATATTTCAATCGCCATCCAGAAAGAAGACAACCTAATAAAGCTATTTTTTAGAGGTTAAAAGAAAATCTCATTAATTGTGGGTCCTTCAACATGCCAAGAAAAAAACAGATATTTATAGCTAATTTTATAATACATTACAATTACAAAATAAAAATGCAAATTAAAGTAAATGTTCAAACCGATGTCCGTTATGTTCGATACATAAATTACATCTCTTCATACACTCTAAATTGCATTATAAATATGAAGAGTTGAAATGGAATTCACACAGGCTATAAAATTTTGTGTGACTTCATTTATGTCGGTACTGGTTTTCTTGTATAATTTATCTTTAATGTGGCCCCAAAAGAAAAAATCCAGTAGCGTTAAGTAAAGTGATCGAGGTGGCCACATCACTGGTCTGTTACATTTAATTCAGTCACTTCCAAAATTTGTATTTAATAATTCTGAAACGGTCTTGATATTATGAGGTGGTGCACCATCTTGTTGGAAGAACTGATTTTTTGCCTCAATTAAGGGTAGGTTGTCCATAAATTCCTCAATAATTTTCTGGTACAAGATTTCGTAGTACCGTTGGCTGTTAAGATTTTCTTGATATATGTGATATATTAAAACACCATGGCCACGTAGAGCACACCAAACCAAAGCGTCCCTAAGATCGCACGTCAACGGTACGGTGGGGTTCATATCAGAAAAATAGTGCTCGTTATGCCTGTTGAAAATTCCTGCACTGCTATTGTAGGCTTCATCTGTCCAAATTACATTCTAGAGAATAATGGATCTTGTTGACGATGATACCATATGCAAAACTCTAATCGTCGCTGAAGATCAGTTGGTTGCAAGTGATGTTGTTTCCTTATTGTATAAGGCCTTAATTTGTATGTCTTCAAAATACCCTAAGCTCCACGTCTTGACATCCCAGAATCAGCTTCAATTTGACGACTTGAAATTGAAGGATTTGCAATATATTAGAAGTTTCTTCAGCATCTTCAATGTTGTAATTTTTTGGTCTTGGCTTGTTGAAGGGCCCACAATTAATGAGATTTTCTTTTAACCTCTTAAAAATAGCTTTATTAGGTTGTCTTCTTTTCTGGATTGCGATTGAAATATATTTCGGATGCAATAGCACAATTGTTATTACTTTGAATAAAGCATTCTAGCATATCGTATTTCTCGTAATTTTCGTAAGATATCTTCACTTTTACGATTAAAAGGGGTGTAATTATGACGGAAACAAAATTATTCATATGCAATTTACTGACAAACGAATAAACACTGTCATAGGTGACACACGCCTATTTGGAATAAATGTAAAAAAAACGCAAAAAGTAATCTACTAAAAGAATATTTTCGCTATTTTACTTACACATCAAAAGCGACCCCACATATGATATATAGTTTGAAAGAGAAAAAAAATTTCCTTTTTAAATAAGCCAACTATGATTCCCATTTTAAAAAATACAACTATGCGATAACTCGAAATTGCACTTTTTTAAAATTTTCTCGACACCACTGAAAAAGTGTCTCAAGAATGTAAAAGTTGTTTTTTCAAAAACTTTACAAACGACCAAGTCGAAAATCGAACTTTTTGTTTATAACTCGAAAACAAAAGATGCATCATGGATAATACTAATTTAGAATATCAAACAAAAAATGGTCAAATTATTATTTCATTTGTTGTTCTACAAGATATTATGATTACTACTCTTTTGCTTAACTAAACAAATAAAGTTGTTGTAGGACTAAAAAAATGGTTAACTAACTAAATTTTTTGTTCAAAATAATAATAAAAATTGTATGGTGACAAAATTTGTTTGATTGATTTAACTATGAAACTAAATAGACGCGATATCATATGCCCTTTTTGGTTGATTTAACCTACCATGGCCTCGTGGTCAAATGGTAATGACACTTGACTACCACTCTGGAGCCCCGCGTTCGATCCCCGGTCGAAGAGCTAGGACTTTTTTCTAAACCAGAAATTAATCCTATTATACTCGCACATTGGGTGTGTGTCCATTATCTCTAAATGTGTAGCCCTCTCCCACACAAGGTACCATGAGGTATCTTCAGGGATACAGGGGTTATATTACCTGTAGTGTTTAATTTAATTAATTTCTATTATGTTTATTGATTAAAAAAAAAAACAATTGTTTCATACCATATTTTTACATATTGAGGATTTAATTGACCACAGCTTATTTTCCAAGTCAGTGTTAAAACCCTTGACAAACCGACAAAATACACCATTAAAAGAAGACTGTAAAATAGCAATGGCATTAAATCTTTACTACCTGACAAAATAATGTGGCAGTATTAAAAGAGACCCACCTTTAACTGAAGAAAGATCAAATTTGATCTGTAGAAAGCAAAGTATAACAAATCTTAAGGAAACATCCTGATTTTTGACAATTGGAAGTGTTAGTCAATTTCACACATTGGTTCATTATATATCTTAGGGCTACCAAAGATACAATATATTTCATTGAAACCTATCGAGAAATTACTATTATATGACTTGGCCAGATTCATAACCCTCCAGCTGGGAATATTTCTTCATAATTGATTAGCACTCTTGTAAAGATTCGTTAACGCAAATATTCATACAAAAATAATTACTAGACAGACACTCCTTAAAACAGTATCAATAACCGAACTATATAATTGATTTAATAGTATATTAACTTCAGTTTCAAAAAGAGAAAAACAATGTTCTAGACATTAAGGAGAAATCTTAGCTATCATCAGTGCTTGCCAACAAATACGTGAAGTTCCTCAAAGAATCTTGCTAAGATATATAGTAATACCATCGTTACGGAACCATGGTCATGGCATAACTTTTAAACTTAATAAAATAACTCCTTACTAAGTTAAATTGTTTCTTTAATATATTGATCAAAAGAAACGTTTCATTATATTTTACAATTTTCCTCCAGCACAAAATATTTTTTATCAACGATTCAAATTTCAAGTCAAAATTTTTTAGGTGTGTCATTATTTGGATGGGTAAAAATATTTTTCAAAAAAAACCTTGATTAATATGTTTGGCGCAGAGGTTTATTTTAGAAAAGTTGAATGTGAATAAATAAGACAGTGGCTCAATACCCAAAGAAGGTGCGAGGAAATACTTTTCTCACTGAACTTGTTACAAATAAAAATTGTCGCAATTTCTTTAACCTATGTCTGTGTAACATCAGGAATTTTTGAGACGTTAGACCATAAGATAAAGGAAGTTAAAAGAATTGTGTGGTAAATTTCAGCTAATTACTAATTAATTTGTTTGCGGTTACAGCAAAATCTCCCTGTTTCCTGGCCTATAAAGCGCATTATTGAAGGAGTGGACTCGTTCCATTGAGTTGCGCATATTTCAACGCCAGACCGTATTTCCAAGTGTTGTCAGCTATGAGATATGACGGCTAGCTCGGAATGTCACCGGTAATTGTCAATTACTAACCGCGAGATTACAAAATAATAGTTGATAGTTGTGATCATCTTGCAGTTTAGAGTAAATGTGTTTGTTGATATTATCAGTTTCACTTCGTAACTAATTTTAATTAGGGCTAGTTCTTTTTTGCCATATAAAGGACCGTGTATTTTTATCTCCCTTATTCTTGAAATAGAATAGTCATAATATGGGAACGTACATAGTTAGATAATAAAACATGTCGTTTACATGGGCACCTGCATAATTTACCCCAGGGGGGCAGCTTAAAATTAAGAGTTATCTGATATCTGTGTTTCTTTTTAGTATTTAATGGGAAACTATTAATTAGAAAGCTTATTTTGGTTATTTCCAATTTATGTACATATTTTAAGACAGAAGGACACGAGAAAGCACCATGGACCTACGTGCATATACAGTGCCCGCCAAAAAGTCTGCACCATATAGAAAACTTTTTATTCCATTGTTTTTTTTTAAACAGGTTTCAGCATTAGTTTCAGCATGATTAATAACCACAAAATTGTCAAAAATATTTGTCATGTCACAACTATAACACCTCCAAAATGTCATTAGAAATTTTAATATGGCCTCAAATATATGGCCTTATTTATCAAAATATGAAAAAGTACAATAAGAAAAGTTGTTTGTAATTACATTAAGAATCTATATGTAAAGTTTGGTTTGAAAATTTAAATGTTTTAGTTTTTAAATTTTTTTCCAACAGTATGTAATATTAAATTTTTATGTGTATTTTTTGTTTACAGTTGAGTTAATCTGAAATATTTCAATGCAAAAAATACATAAATGTTGTATTTTTTTTAAATGTAATTAATAATGAAAAAATAAACATTTTTACAAAAATCAGCAGGACAATCGTGGACTATTTTCAGTAATTCTGAACACTTAGTTTGGAATGTTGCACGATCATGGGTTTAAATATTAAAAAACGATTGTTCATTTAAATCAAATTTAGATGACATAAATAAAACTCAAAATTCCTATTAAAATTTACTTCAAAAACCATAAAAGTGAATTTATTTAATAACTTTAAACCATGTTTGCAGACAATATTATCTTAAATTAAATACTACATTTCTGTATGTCTTCATTCTCTTTCCATACATATTATTGTCCTATTGCAAAATTCTTTGGTTACATTTCTCAAAATTCTTGGGGGTCAAGACAGATATCTCTGATGGTGTTTTCTAAATGATCGATATTTTGGAACGGTCTTCTATGGTAAACTTTATTTTTCAAGTAACCCCATAAAAAGAAATCTAGGGGCGCCATGTCCCGGTATCTTGCTGGCCATGGGTATTGTGAATATCTGCCAATGCATTTGCCTCTAAATAAGTTGTCCAGATAATTTCTTACATTAATAGTGAATTGAAGCGCCGTGTTGTTGAAACCATAAGACGCTTCTTTCCTCCAACGACATGTTGTCAATTACTTCAGTAATTTCATTCATAAGAAAGTTCAAATATCTTTCCTAATTGAGATTATGCCGAAAAAAATAAGTGTTAATTAGTCTACCATTAAGAATACCGCACCAAACATTGGTTTTAAAAGAGTACTGGTCTTTACATTCAATCACAAATCCGAGGTTTTCGTCAGCCCACAATCTGCAATTTTGGGAACTTACTACCCCATTGGAAGAAAAAGTTGCTTCGTCTGTGAATAGAATCGATGTAGCAAAAGATCGATTATCTTCTATTTCTCCTTGTATCCAAGAACAAAAAAGAATCTAACATCAAAATCGCGTTCTTTAAGCGTGTTAATAAACTTTGGCTTGTACGGGCAAGATTTGTGTTTCCTCAAAATTCTCCTTACAGTAGTTCCTCCTGCGCTAGTTCTGTCGGAAATTGCAGCAATCGAGGTTTGCTTATGTTCTATTACATCAAGCAAAAAGTTTTCCTCATGTTCATCAATTCTCCAATTCGTGTGTGGTATTTTGTAAAGATTCTCAACTGAGCCGGTTGTTTTAAATTTTTGGAAAATACGTCCAACTGTTGAATGGGAAACAGACTTTTAAGGATACCTTTGGTTAAAAATATCAGCTGTGTCCCTATTTGTGTTATTTTCGCAGTGAATTAAAATAATTTCAATTTTTTCTTCTTTAGTAAGCATTTTTTTAAATGATCAACAGCAACAGAAAAATGAGATTTTATTGTTGACATTAATAAGGCATCGATACGTCAAAAGCTAGCATTTGTTTTCAAAACTTACTTGATTACCTAGAGAAAGTTATTAAAAAAATCCGTATTATTCAGTTTTAAGGTTTTTGAAGTAAATTTTAATAGGAAATTGAAGTGATCTAAATTTGATTTAAATGAACAATCGTTTTTTTTAATATTTAAGCCCATTATCGCGCAAAATTCTACAGTAAGGGTTCAGAATTACTGAAAACAGTCCATGATTGTCCTGTTGTTTTTTTGTAAAAATATTTTTTTGCCATTATTAATTACATTTAAAAAAGAAATGCAACATTTATGTATTTTTTTTGCATTGAAATATTTCAAATGAACTCAACTGTAAACAAAAAATACACAAAAAAATTAAGTATTAAGTATTTTTGGAAAAAAATTAAAAAGCCAAAACTTTTAAATTTTCAAACCAAACTTTACACTTAGATTCTTAATGTAATTACAAACAACTTTTTCTTATGGTACCTTTCCATATTTTGATAAATAAGGGCATTTGTGGCCATTTTAAAATTTCTAATGACATTCTGGAGATGTCACAGTTGTGAAATGCAAATATTTTTGGCAATTCTGTGGTTGTTAATTATGCTAAAACACATGCTGAAACCCGTTAAAAAAAAAACAATTGAATAATAATGTTTTCCATATGGTGCAGACTTTCTGGCGGACACTGTATAATAGGTACAATTCGAAAACATTAATAATTAAAATTAAAAAAATATATTTCTATTTGATTTATTTTTTTATTACAGGTTTATTAATTATGATTATTTGGATCACGGTTTGCTAATAATAAATCTAAAGTCTATTTCTCTCAAAGATAGACTGAATAAAAACAAAAGAAACCAAATAACTGCTCACTCTTATACACGACGCTCCTGATTACAATTCTGTAAAATAGGCGGGGTTCGTCTTCCTCGATTTTATTGCTGGTAGACCAATAGGAAAACAAAGCATCTCGCGCTACGATCTTATCACGTGAACATCACGCTCAGCTTTATGTTTTCGTCCAGTCTATCTTGAAAATAAATAGACAGAGAATTATTGATTCTCCGAACTACATGCTTGGATGAGTAAAATCATGAGAACACAAGTAAAAATAACAATCAAAAAGCAAATATAGTCAAACATTTATGTATTAATATTGGGCTACCAGAAGCTAGTATAATAGGTCCAATTTTGTGTTGTAAGAAAACAACTTGTGTATTAGTTTGGACGGAACATACTTTGAATTAGTTCAGGAACAAAATTATCTGTTTTCGAAAACCAGTGAATTATTAGAAATAGATTTATTCAAATAAAGAAAATATTCTCTAT